GAAGAACAGTTGGCGGTTAAAGTTTTCTATGCACAATTTGATTTGACGAAAGTCACGAGACCTATTACTCTCTATCCAATCACGTTGATGGATAAAAATAAAATTAAAATAAGCATGTAACGACCACAAACGGAGGAAAATAGCGGAGTAAAAGTACCGATACATCACTTAAAATGTACTCAAGTAAAAGTACACAATTTTGAAACTACTCAAAAAAGTACAATTACTGATAAAAACTACTTAATTACTTTAACGTGAGTATTTGTAATTCGTTACTTCACACCCCTGGTCTCACCCCACTCTTCTTGTCAGTCAGCTTGACTCACTCTCCTCACTGGATAAATGACATGCTGCACTGAGCAGCCGCGCTCAGTTTTTAATTGTAGTGTCTGTTCTTTTACTGAACTAAATGATTTTTATTACTATAAAAAAAATCAGAATGACGGTGGGGGTCAGTGCCGCGGTGGGCAAGTGACGTAACCGGTGTTGCGGCTTAACAACGGTGTCACCGTCAGCAGCACAGTCTATCGCGGCAAGCCTAGAGCTCAGGTAGCTTTTTCTAATCCGTGATTGGCTACAGGCTCCAAAATATATTGCACAATACGAAGAAATGATAAAACATTGAAGTGTTTTGTGACACTACTCATCCACTTGTTGGAAAAAGTACCTGTAGTTTAACTCAGTTTAATTACTGTCACACGTCTTGAAAAAAACAAAGTTCAGTTAGTGCTGCTGCTCATTACTCCTGAACACTGGTCTCAGGAAGATGGCAATGGGCCAAAAAGCCATTACTGTGTGGAGAACTTTATAGTAATAAAGCAAAATCCCATTTCCCCTTCCAGACAGAGGCTGGTGGAGATCCATTGGGCTGTGAGTGCGTGTGTGTGTGTTGTTGTTGTTGTTGTTGTTGTTTCTTATGCTGCAGAGGCGGCTACAATACATTGTCTCTCCTCCAGGAGGTTTCCCAGTAATTGCCAATGGCAACTTGAGTGGTTTAAACTGTCAAAGTTTGTATAGTCTCTTTAACACTTTTTCTTTCTTCGCTTTTTCTTTTTTTTACCTTGCTAACACGGTCTCTGGCTTATTGACTAGATGTTTGCGATGAGGTATAGTTAACGTTAAAAGCACATCAATGGAGAATCTCTGCATAATAATGTGACAACATCTTGAGACACATTACTGTTCAAAAGTTTTGAGGTCAATAAGATTATTAGTGTTTTTAAAATAAGTCACTTATGCTTAAGGCAGAATTGATTTGATTCAAAATACAGTAAAAATGGTAATATGCTGAAATATTATTTCTCAATTTTTTTGAATTGGAAACAACTTTTTCCAATTTGAATGCATGTAAAAATGTAATTTATTTCTGCGATGCAAAGCTGAATTTTCAGCATCATTACACCAGTCTAAGTGTCACATTCAGAAATCATTGTCTTATGCTGATTTGCTACTCAAGAAATGCTTCTGTTGTTATCAATGTTGAAAACAGTTGTGCAGCTTAATATTTTTGTGAAAACTGTGATACGTTATTTTCAGGAGTCTTTGATGAATAAAAAGTTCAATTAGCAACATTTATTTGTAATAGAAGTCTCTTTTGTAGCATTTTTAATGTCTTTACTGTCACTTTAGATCAACTTAATGGTTCTTTAATTAATAAAATGTATTAATTTTATTTAATATAAAAAAAAAAAACTGATCCAAACTTTCAAGATATACAATTCAGTAAACCATTTAGCAGTACTTTGCTTGCTTTATGCCATAATGCATGCTGGGAAACAAAGTCCAGAACCACAGAAATCAGAACACAGTACAGTGGGGTACACAAGTAAGTCCACACTGAAAACTGAGGTTTAAAAATTGTATTAAAACCTGGAAGTTGTATTGTATTAAAAC